CCAGAAGTACTTCCGGTTCACTTCCAGGTTCGCCTCCAAGCATGTGTCCCCATTTCCCGCCCCCCACCCCATTCCTGTGGGACGCTCCATCTGCTCCAGCATCACAGAGTTCACGAGCCATGCCTGGTACCTCAAGGTATGCAGAAAAAACATTTAAAGCTGTGTTTATGTCTGAATCGCTGATTCTCTGAATCAGCCTCGAATCTTCAGATTCAGATTCAGCTGGATCAAATCAGGGACAGTGATCTGAATCAACGAATCGAATCACTGTCCCTGATTTGGGTCAAATCTGAATCCAAATTGAATATGGCCCATTTTGCACACCCCTAATTCCTATACCTAACTCCCTATCCAGTGGAAAAATACCTCTGTGGATCCATCCAGCCCTAACTGCCTGCCCTAAATCAAGCTCTATTGATTCAAATGGTGTCAGGTGTCTCCATGCTTTGGAAAGTTCTAGCTGATGCTTGTCTGCATCTTTGGCCACCAACTCTTAAATATCTGCCCATTTGAAAATGTTAACCTTTATCCATTTTGCTTTCTGTCTTTCCCTTGCCTACAATGTTTTAATGGGGCATAGTTCCCCAATTAAGCAGAGAATGTAGTACACGGTAGAATGCCCCACCCCATCAGTGACTGGTAGAGGCCTCCATTATTAACTGGGTTATTTACTTCTGGGTGAAGCATTAAGAGATTCACAACCCTTCTTTTAACATACCTTAGTTGGTAAGGCTCTAATTGTTTTACTCAAACTAATTATAGAAAGGAAGAAGATAAATGAGGGACTGCAGACTTGCCCCTTATATCATCACAAGCTTGTTTACGTGGTAAATAAAAGTAGGCCTATAATCTAGACAATAGAATTAACTCATAATTACATGGCTGCAGGAGAGAGATGAAGATAAATAAGAAGGTTTCTTTGGAGTTTAGCTGCCAGCAGTGAAGTGCAAAGAAGTGAACAAGAGTCAAATTGCCTCTGGCTAGGGATTATCTGGTCAGAAATTTGATGAGAGACCTGAAGTGAGGGATTAGGAGTGACAGAAATGTAAAAGGTGTCACTCTTTTTTGTGTGTCAATGATTTGCTATGCCAATGTGGCACAAAACAGGAGACTGATGCAGTCATTCAAATGAGACCCTGACTGCTTCTGTCATTGAAAAATCTGATATTTATATCAAGTGTTAGATTATAATCCTCTGCAAGATGCCCAAATGCCAGCTTCATTAACTACATTCTACTTTCCTAATATTTCCCTTAATTTTTTTGTTGTTGCTGTAAATATTATTCCTTATTTTTTCCTTTCACTGGCATAAAGAATTGCTGCCTGTTTAGAATAGCTGGTGCGCTCCACCCCACTGGATGTTGCACTTCAGTAGTGCTGCATAATGCTTAGAGATAAAGTGCATTTTAGGGTTCCTTTGAAGGAAAGCTGCTGCAAGGACTGATACATGATATCGTACTGCAGATTGTACTGGGCTGTAGTTTCAGGTTTATTAAAATATGATGCTATAAACCAACATTTGGATTCAGGAATCCCTTTAAGAGTGCCACATTGTTCTGTAAAACACACTGTAGTTTTATAAATGGCTCAGTACCTGCGACTAATGTCAAACTGCATTCAGTTGAGGGATTGGGTTTTCCTTTGGCCTTACTTGCTTGCTGTTCTTTCTTCTGGTAGATTTTCTTTGGATAGAGGTGTTAGGTTGCACAAGGCTCAGGTTTTTTCAGTCAAATCAAAGTGCAAGCAAAAAGAGATATCCAGCAACCCTTTCCTCCTTTTAAGGTTCCTCTAGAAAATTAGTCAGCTCTATTTCTCATCCAATTAGGAGATTTCCCAGGGAATAAGAGAAGCATTTTATGAGACCCAGGAAGGCTGAAATGTTATCTCACTCATTTGTTCTGCTTCAACCCCTCCCAAAATATCTATTTTCACAAACAAATTAAATTTTGTGCTACTTAGACACAAAGGCTGCCCATATATGTACTCAGGGGTGGGGGTGGAACATTTTAATTAGAGCAGTTCCTGGACAGCTACTGTAATCAAAATGGCTCACAGTCATGTGTACTAAGTACCCATGTTTTAAAATGGCTGTGGGATGCTTTCTCTAAAGCTCATTCGATGAGGTTTAGATAAATCGCCCCTGTGGCCATTTAGAAACCTGTGGGGGTTAAATACACACGCTGATGAAGCAGCGTTGCAGCGTTCTAATTAGAAGGTGGAGCAAACTTGATTCATTGAGTCAGCTCCCATGTGCTGTAATTAAAACACAAACAAGCACGTGGATAGGCAGCCTAAGGGCTTGTCTACAAAGGGACAAATTGACAAAAGAGATGAAATTAATGCATATAAAGGGCCATAATCCCAATAGAGACAGACTCATTTAGAGGTACACTGGCTTATGTTTATTTGGAATAGACTACAGCAAACTTAAATCACTTACTTTAGTGTAAGAATGCCCACATAAGGATTTAATATGCTAACTTACATGGATTGACTCCCCCACTTCCAGAGTTACTGTATTTGAACTTTCCTGAGTGTCTCTGTGTGAGATAAGAGATTCCTTTTTTGAAGGGCCTCCACATTGTTGCAAGCGTACAACAGTTTGCATATCCATCACAGTTTCTATGGCCAGAGTCTGGAACTTGCTCAATGCTTTAGGGCAAGCAAAAGCAAGTTCCTGAACCTGCATGGACTTTTATGGTGCTTTTGCACACTTTTAGCAAAAAAGAATCTTGAGGATTCTCCGAGTGAGACAGGCTGAGAATCCTCCCTCTTCCTTATGTCATTATTTACAGATTTCAGGTGCTGCCTTAATGCAGACTCATGCAGTCCCTATGCAGACTTTCAGAATGCCTTAAAGTAAAGAGAAATCAAAAGGTGCTAAACTGTGAGCAAAGGACTTTTAGACTGGCAAAGCGGAGGCATGGACCAGGCAAAAGCTACCACCAGCTCAAGGGAAGCACCATGGCAAACAGATCCTTTGTTCATATACAGGATGTTGGCAGTTTCCTAAGACAACACGTGGAAGGCAAGAGGAATATCTTTTTGAGCAATGTAATATTGACTAATGAGCAATACCATCAAGGGAAAGGGAAATCATGGAAGCTGTCAACTCATCAGTATGTATATATCAATTAACAAATACTGTTGGAATAGTAGCTGCTGCATATCTAGTTTTCTCCTTCCTTATTGTTTAAAATACATTATTACTTTGTTCTTAGAGGCCTCCTGTTGAAATCAGGACACGCTGTCCTAGGCACAGTGCAAACAATTTGGTCTAGTTTCTGCCCTGAAGAGCTTACAGTCTAAATAAACAAAACAAGGGGAGGAAGAAATTAAATTATCTTTGTCTCCCAGTTCTACCAAGGAGGAACTAAGGTAGCAAGATTAAGCGATTTGTCTAAGGACACACAGGAAGTATGTGGGAGAAAATCTGCTGTTATAAATTAAATCTAGAATTACTGTCTTGAAGTATGTAACCACTGAATTAGATATAGCTTCAGCAGAACAAATAGCAGTCCCCCTCCTTTCTAAGACCCTCAAGACCAAATGTAAAGGGCCTTTAAGCAACTCACAAAAAACAAACAGATCTGGATTTATGCTTTATGCCATGTAATTTCAAATATTTTAATGATCATAGATTAAGTGGGGAAGTACCTGTAGGCAGTCCAGAAAGGACTTTGATTATGAAAACTTCCATTACTCCTGGAAGCTTCAGCAGGCGTAGGATTTCTCTGAAGCTAAACACACTACCAGACTGTGATGCATCTAGGGAAATAACACAGAATCACCTCCTATTAACACAGTCTAAAAGCAAGAAACATGAAACCAATACATTGCCTGATCATGTTCACAGCCAAATCTGCACAGGGAAAAATTCCTCCTGTCTTTTCTGCATCTCAGCCAGAGCCGTAGCCAGGCATTTTGGCACCCAGTGAGGTCACATGCACAGCACCCCCTCCCCCACCGGATGTGCTACTACATAATTACCTCCATTCGAGTTGGCCAGTATGAGGGTGCCTGATACCAGTATGCTACTGGCACTTCCCTTGCTACACTACTGGTCTCAGATTCTACTGCCCCACTGGTTCTATGCTTGGGGAACCACACTGGTCCCAGTGGGTTTTTGGTGTCCAAAGCAAATGCAGAATGCTAAATAGGACTAGAAGGAACCTCAGTAAGTCATCTAGTCCAGCCTCCTTCTCAAGCCAGGGTGATCGTACCTTGAGCAGGGAGTTGGACTAGATGACCTCTTGAAATCCCTTCCAGTCCTATTTTTCTGTGATTCTGTGAATGTGCAGTAGATGCTTACAGTGCAGGTGAGAGACCTGACTGGAGAGGACGATGTTGCATCATGCATTTCAAAAACCCTACAATCCATTCCCATTTTATATCCTACCAGCCCCAGGTATTTGGTCACATGAGAGGACATTCTCATGACATTTCTATTTTCTCACCCTTTCTCACTCTCACAATCTTCCTTTTCATTTTAGCTCCACACACTATTATTTTTTAAATACTCTCAAGAAGGCTCCTGCAATGTGGCATAACAAACTAGTCAATGCATATGGAATATACTTTCCATACGCCATTGTCTGTAGAGTAAACTCTTGAAAGGCTGGATGAATATCTGTGGAGCATTAGACTCACCTACAAACAAATGTGGTTTGTAGAGTGGATTATAAATGATCAGCCTTTGGCCGCTGGAAGGCCTAGTTCAAGTGCTTAATGGGTTGGTCCTAACTGAGAAGCAGCTAGGTGGTCTTATCTTTACTATCATTGTAAACCTTATTCTCTGCTGCAAACTTGTACCATGAACCCTGTCTTCTCAGGTAAGAATGAGGAACCAGGTTTGAGGTGGTCTGGGACAGCAGATGAAGGTGAAGTTTGCTTCTGTTTGCCCCTAGGCACAACTAGAATCTTTCAATTCTGTCTTTAAATGAATGTTAACTGCCCTTCTTCATTCCTACAGCTATTGTTCACAAATAGTTAACACTCACTTTGCTGCATGGCACATCCTTCTGACTTTGGCTTCGTGTGAGCAGGAATGCAGGTCATTACTATCACTGTGTTTATGAGACTTCCCACTAGTGCAATGTATGAAGGAAAGTAAATGCTGTGAACAGAAAGAGCGTTAACAATATAAATGCAATGGATCTAATTTAATGAAGGAAAAGTACTTTTGCCCTGATCCCACAGCAACTTAAGTGCATGAGAAGTATTCCCACTGAAATCACAATGAGAAAGATTATGCAGGTATTTAAGCGTTTGCAAGATCAGGATTTTATATGATTGTCCATGGTCTGACAATACTTTTTTACCTGTAGGTGCCACCTTATAAATATAACAAATTGTTCAGTAGGATTCATCCAGTCCTGCAATGGGACAGATTTAATACCCTTTTTATTCACTCTGGCACCTTATTATGAAGAGAGTTCTATTGATTTCAATGAGAGCCCACAATTCATCATAAGTAGTGAATAGTTCAAAAGCACGCCACCTCCATTTTCTCAGTGCTGACGTGCATTTTGCTGTTTATACAAATGCATGCACTGCAGCACCGAGCACTTTTAAAAGTGGGTGGTGCTGCAGTGCAAACATGTGTACAAATGCCCTGTATGTACATGTACTAGAAAATAGCACATTAGAAAAAAGGTTTTAAAAGTCAAGTTGTGCGTTTGATTTTAAGGTTTTTTATTATTTTTCATACTTGGATGAATCAGTTTTGTTTATGGATGATAATGCAGCTCCCTTAATAATTTGCTAGGGAGTTAGGATATAAATTAATATTAACGGGCAAGGGTGTCAAAGAAGCTTTCCTGCCTAACCAAGAAAACGTGCTAATGCCAGCACAGCGCACTGTAAAAGCCTGGACAGAAACTCTTGATAATTTAGACTAGGGCTTTCTTTTTCTTTTCTTTTTAAGATGATGCAACACTTCTTAACAGAGGCATTGTCCAACAGGCTACATCCTGTTCCCAGCTATGATCTCAGAACCTGCCCCCTCTCATTCACAATCACACAGCATCTCTGTGGCTCCCTCTGCAATTACTTTCAAAGAAAAGCAATCCCAGGAGTAAATCAAATGTATGTTTAGCCATAATTTGTTGCAGTTTAACTGTGGAAGACAAACATGAGATCAGTACCATATAGCATATTGACTCCTCATGGACCATCAGCGTTCACTTTGAGAAGCTGTGGAGATGAAAGAAGTATCTTTGCAGATGAAACACGGTCTGTTCAGAACTTCTATGACAATCGGAACCAATACATAAACAAGGCTTATGTTTTTCCAGGATTTTTCCCTGCATTTTTTGATCTTCCAGGGAGCTTTGCATTTAGAGGTGGTGGGTTCTGTATTTCAACCATGCCTTTGACATGGAAAGGAAATAGTCACAGAGATGTGCTTTGCTGTGTACTGGGGGAAGGTAATATTGACACCTTCCCCAGCCACCTGGCAAAGCTTTTATCCCAGGGAAAGAATCCAATGTCTGTCAGCACTACAAAACAGCTTTCTATGATGACTGGTATTTCATTGTGCCTGATCATCTTGTGATGATTGTTTTGTGGTTTATTTAGGTGAGGGCTGGAAGATTGCTAATACCAGCAAAACAAATAGTAGACATTCCAGGCTCCTGTTACTTAAGAACACATATAGGCAGCTATTTACACTGCCAGGTAACAGGATAAAGTATCATAGCATATGAAAATAACCCAATAAAGTATGGTACACGCAATCCATGGGACTAAACTGACAAAGAGTCTTTTAAACATACATGCATTGTGGTCATGGAATCAAAGCTTTGCTGCTATAACTGGACAAAATTCCATTGAGCTCTACCCATTTTGCACCAACAGAAAATCTGAACCCAGTATTAAGCAATAATGGTTTCAGGTGTACAACTAGGGTGTAATTATTATCACCTGGAGACCATTGTTTTGTAAGCTTGATACATTTTTCTGTACATTTTCTGACCATACCCTTTTATCTCTTCCTGAGGCAATAAAAATGCTGTAGGAAAGAACAGTATACTGGCAGAAGGGAGACAAGATGTTCTAATAGTAAGAACTTCTTGGGGAATGGCATCTGAAAGGCTACTGAAGAAGGGAAGCCATTTGACTCTACTGCAGTTACATATTATTATGAAAAAACAAAACAAAACAACAGAGATATTGTGAGATCGCTCTTCCTACTCATCTGATGTGTTCTGGGCTTCCTGGTATCAGGCCTGCAGAAAACAGATTACCTTCCTATCTTCTTGGCTTAAAAAGAAGGTAGCACAACTCCCACCATTGAACGACCATTAAAGGATGCAAGTAATGTAAGCCAAGCACACATTACTTGCATTACCTCTGCCTGTACCTAAGCCAGGACTTTTGTGATTTGGATGAAGAGATTTATTAGGTAAGCTCAAAGGGAGAGTCATCCTTGCTGAACCAGCAAGAGCTGCACTGAGGTTGTCTGAACTGGACACTATTCTTCCCATAAGAAAGAAACTTGAGCAAAGAGTCTGGAATGCACACAGTCTACAATGTTAGCAAAACCATGCTTAAATCATATGACTGGTTCCTTCTTTGAGACAATTAGGTGCTCTTGAACCTGATAGCATCCTATTCCTCTCCCTGGATTGTTGTATTTGTACGAAAAGAATGACAGCTAGAAGAAATTCCCTGTGATAACAGACCCTATCATCCCCTCCTCCCCACCCGTTTCTTCTCCATCTGATCAAACTCTGTGCTTACAAACCAGATCAGTCAAGCATGATACAATGTCTGCGATGTCTGACGTGAATTTTGGATGGGAATCCTACATCACGAATGCAGGATGATGGCTTTGGATTGTTCGTAAACTATATACATCAGCCTCTGTTTCACAAGCATGTCAACATGTGGTAAGAAATGGAGATGATACACCAGGCTTACGCCAGACAGCCATGCAGTGCCTAGCCAGGGGAATGTGCCTTTGCTAGGCCCACATAATATGCTGTTTATATTTTGTGTAAACTGCTAAAGCTAAGTCAGTTTGCTGTAAACATTTATATTACAACATCAGCTTTATAGCCTGTGGCAATGATGGGCCACTGGATGGAAGAAACATTTCTCCATCTGGAAGCCCTGTCCTTGTACTAACTGGAAGGCAGAACTTACAATGCATGGTTAGGGAGTAATGTCATGGTAAAGAGATTAAATCCAAAGAAAATATTATTATTCAAGGCTGGCTAAAACAGGGTTGAATTTCTTCTCATCCAATACACCAAGCAGCATCTGTAAACACTTTAAGATGACAGTAAATCCTAAAATACACCAAGCTTCCTGGATGATGCAATAAAGGGGATGTATTGTATGCTATACCCCAAGGAATTGTATGGATTGCAGACTATGGTTTGGTCTTTGCCCTTTTGAGTAACCCCAAACATAAAAAATATGCGGAGGAAGGAAAATGTGCATATGGATCACTTAAGTGCACAGGAAACAGGGTGTTTGTGATACAAGGTGATTTAAGTTCAGTAATTCCAGTAAAGCTGCAAAGCTTTAGGTCAGAGAATGAGTTAGGTTAAGCACTGCAAATGCTATCAGTTGGTACAAACAGTTTGGGTGAGACGAACAGAAGTCTGGAGTGCTCTTTGGCCTGAATGAGATCTGTATATTGTATTCCAGTTGGAATTCATTCTCATTAGAACAACAGCGTTGACATGATGAGGATTCAGTTTCTAGAGAAATGCCTTGAAGGATAACAGAGTAACACAGCAGGCCTGATTCTGTTTTTGCTTGCCCTTGTTTGCACTGGTGACTTCAGTCAAGGCACTCCTGAATGACAGTTATATAAATGAGAGGAGTGTCAAGCCCCTAATCTCAAGTAAACACATTATCTCATCATATATTCCAAGCCATCTAGCATTTTGCATGTATGTGGTTTAAGCATCTTGGATGTGAATGGACAGGCAGAATTGCACCCTTCCAAAAGTTCACATGACAATCTCATCTTGCTGATCAGACCAAATACCAGGATGGAATTCCACAGCCTTTACAGCAAAAAGCCTTGAAGAATAACAGGATTCTTGTCATATAAACCACATATAGATACTACCATTACAGATCATAAGAGAAATATAAAATGATGTAACCCTTAGGAAAATAACAAGTCATTCAAAAAGAAAGGAAAGTTTTAGCAATTAATGGGGAGAGATGTGAGGGTGAAATAAGAGTTGCTCATAGCTAGACTCAGCTGGATTTGTGTACGACACAGACAAAAGGCAAGGCACTTTTACAAGGGGGTTTGCTCGTTACTCTGAGGTAAAGCTCATTTACACTTTGCACCCATATGCTGAGAAGCTTCATGTCAGAGACTGAGTTAGACTCTTGTTCAAGTTAAGCACTGCACATGCTATCAATTGACACAAACAGTTTGGTTGCCAGAAAATGCCATCTTTTATTCCTCATATAGCCCCTAACAGCCTAAAAAAGAAACAAATGAACCAAAAACTGACACTGGTTTCTTTTGGATATGCAGATAAAGGAGATATAAAGGCAACAAGGTTTTGTCTCCTGCCTAACAACTGAACTAACAACTCCAGCCAAAATTACAAAAATCCAGTCCAGCAGCACTGGAAGATAAGAAGTGCAGGGACTGACAAGCAAGATAGATGAGAGCTATCACAGGAGGTAAAAGAAACCTCAGTGTGAGGAGTTCTCCAGCCTAGAAATCTAGACAGGATTGTGAGTAATGGACTTTGAGATCTAGCCCCTGCTGTGTGACCTCAGACAAGTCACTTTATCACTCTGTGCCTCAGTTTCCTCCATGGAATACTGATAATGCTTACTGCAGTGCATGTAGCTAGGATTCAGCATGCAGCCTTGTAAGCATGTGGTTGAATGAATGTCCTCAACCCAGCAACAATATTGCCAACTTCAAGCATTCAGAAATCATGACTTTCAAAACCTAATGGCTTGCTGTCACAAAAGAAAAGGAAAGAATCAACCTGCCCCCTTCACAGAGGAAGGGGAAAGCTCTTCCTTGGGACTCCCCCAAGAAGCAGCTTTATCCAGTCTCCCTCTCCTGAGAGGACTCCCTGCAGCCAGTCCTAGTGTGCCTTCACAAGGGACAAGCCTCTGGCTTTGAGACCCTGATTCTTCTCAGTCCCCGGCTTCCCTGGTGATCTGTAGCAGCCCCACCTCTCAGAGCTCCTTCTTTTTGGTCAGCTCCTGGGGAGGAGGGTGGGCATTTTCTTCCTTGAATTAAGAGGGTTATCAGAGTGACAATGTCCCAGCTGGCACAGCAGACACTGAGTCTTTATTGGGCCATTCCTGTTCTTTTTGTCTGCAGTGGGACTTTACTCTGACTGCCTTGGAACCGTTCCTTCTCTCTGTCTGCCCTGGGACCTTCCCTCTTGACCCAGCCCGGGACCTTTTCCTCTCTTCAGCTCTCTCAGAGCTTCACTCATTCTCCTCAGGCTCAGTCAGCCACACTTGCAAGAACACATTAAGTCATGGAGAACCAACAGAGAGCAGTCTCTGGGCCCTGCTGCCAGGCCCAGACTGCCATCTGCCCCAGGAGTGAAAAAGGTATATAGATGACTGATTTAGGGAACAATTTACAAGCATTATTTACAGTAAAAGCTGCCCACACTGAGACTCCCAAAGTGCTCTCCACTGGAACTGCAGGCTAGAATCCAGCTCACCGAGCCTCCTTTGTCACATTGCAACTGAGACTATTGCACAAATGAATACAATTTGGACTCTTTATTTTGCCTTCTGGTTTTTGAGCCATTCTGAAGCTTTTCTTGCAATGACAATGAAAAGCTTCCATGACAATGAAAAACAAAACCGTGACAATGAGTGACATTCTACAAGTGATATATCAGTGGTGTTTAAGAAATGAGGGGGGATGGAGGAGGCCTTTATTAATGGAAGGCCAAACAGGTGCATGATAACTTAGAAACTGACTTTATTAAAGAAATGGGATTCTTCTATAAGGAGCTGACTCCATCACCAATGCCAAAATTCAGTGGTTTGGAATCAAGTGGATTCAACAGTATAATTCCAAAACCTGGTAAAGACCTCATGCCGGTGGCCAGCTACCGACCAATTGCACTACTGTCTGTGTGCTACAAGGTCCTTGAGTGCCTCATTTTGCAATGGATATCTCCAGAAGTAGAGACCATCCTTAGCATGGAAGAACCCAGATTCCACAAAGGCCACAGCGCTTGCCATCAACTACTGGCACTTACAGCCTACATTGAAAATGGTTTTCAGTAGAACCTGAAGACAGGTGTAGTGCTGCTGCACCTTACAGCTGCCTACAGTACAGTATGGTGCACTGGCTTGCTTCTGAAGCTGTCAAGAGTAGTTCCAAGCTGGGTCATTATAGTCATCGAAACACTCCTCCATAACAGATGATTCAGAGTCCACCTTGGTCAGGGGATAAGCACATGGATGAGACAGGGCTCAGTGTTGGCCCCAACTTTGTTCAACTCATACACAAACAATCTACCAACAACCACATCTCACAAGTTCCTCTATGGTGATGAAATCTGCTGTGCCACTCAAGCTCCATCTTTCCGCACTCTGGACCAGACCCTGAACAAAGATGTGACAAAGCTGGCAGAGTGCTGCACTACGTGGCAGCTCATGCCGAGTCCTGCAAAAACTGGTGTATTCCATCTCCACAATGCCAGTTCCCAAAAAGAACTTAACATCTATATGGGTGGTCAGTGACTAAAGCATGATCCCTGTCCAACATACTTGGGAGTGTCTTTAGACAGAGCCCTGACTTTCTAGGAACACCTAAAGAAAACAGCAGCAAAGGTCAAATCCCAAAACAACTTGCTAGCCAAGCTTTCTGGATCAATATAGGGAGCCACAGCCACAACACTCTGGGCCTCAGCTCTTGCCCTGTTATACTCAGCAGCAGAGTATTGTGCATCTGTCTGTCAAAGGTCATCACACACACATCTTGTTGACACTCAGTTGAACACAACCATGCGTCTCATAACTGGAACCCTCCACTCAACACCGCTCCCCTGGCTTCTTGTCCTTGCAAATGTCACTCCCTCACACATCCATTGACTGATGATGACCTGGAAGTTGGTTAAAACCATCTGCGCTGCACCTTACCTACCACTCTACAGAGACCTGCTCAATCCACCCAAGGCCTGCCTTTCTTTGTGATGCCCCTTATCGAGCAACCTCCCTGACCAGCATCTGTCTGCAGATGCCCTCTGGATCAAGAAACGGGAATCCCAGGAAGTCATAAAAAAGTTCCTTGTGACAAATCCTATTCGCCAACCTGCTAGCTTTGAACTACCATGATGCGAGTGGGTCCTGCTAAACAGGTTCAGGACAGGCTAAGGCCCCTGTGCAGCCAACCTTCACCACTAGGGCCTCAGTGGTAACCCCGTGTGCACTTGCAGAGAGATACAAACCATGCTGCACGTCACTGAGGAGTGTCCCCTCTATGAACTAAGAGGTGGATTAATAACTTTTAGCTCATCTAACAAGGAGGCTACTGCTTGGCTTTGCAGATTTGCATTTCCTAAATAAATAAATAAATAAATAAATAAATAAACAAACAAACAGTATAATGGGAATTTTACAGATGTAATATGAAGGAACTGTATGGACAGACTGAAGGGATGGGGCAAAAACCAGTGTCTTCTAATTATGCACAACAACCGAGGCAAGCCAGGGCTGAACAACTTCCTGCCCAACCTGCACTGCAGCCAGGGGACGCGAAGAATTGGCACCAGCATGGATGTAGCATCTAGTGGCCTGGCCTCTGATTGGGTCCCCACTGACCAGAAGCTGCACCCATGCTGCAGCCAGGAAGCAGGGTGCAATTGGGCTGGGAGAAGCAGGGGTAGTGCCTGGCCGCATGGGGTGCAGGTGTAGGCAGAACCTCTCACTTCTGATGTGCTACTGAAGTCATGTGGCCATGCCAGACTAGGGCTGCACTGGTCCAGCTTGCAGCTTATAAATGTTGCTGACCCCTGAGCCACAGAATTTTTAAGTGGCATTTAAACCATAACACTGAGATTGTACCAAGACACATACAGTATGAAGAATACAACCAGCAATGCATGAAGTAAGGGGCTACTGACAGGCTGGCTGCCACATGGCCATGTTTACAGGGATTCTAGCCACGAGTGTTTTAACTGCTTGTGTGCAACTTAACACACAAGGTCCAAACCCCTGGAAATGCCATCATTCCAGTGGCTGTTGTTATGTAAGAGGCCTGTCACTTTCTACAGGAGCATCAGGAAAATTCAGCTTTTAATATATGAGGTTTTCAGTGTGACCAAAGCAGCAAGTGGCTACAACAATTACAAAATTAAAACACTAAAAGGTATGGATGAAGGGATCCCAATAAAATTTCAGCCCCAAGCTACCCCCTGTAAAGCCTGGGGTGGTTTAGTTAGTTACTTACCTAGGAAGGGGGTCTAACAAAAGTGTATTCTGCTAATAGCTGGTGGTACGGTAGTATAAGCTCAGCTGCCCTGCACTTCATGCTCTGCATGACAAGAGCTGAAGAAAATCCATAGGTAATTATAAAATTAAATTTTGCAGCTGGTGTTCATTTAGTTTTAGAAGGCTGCCCTGCCCAGTGGTCCTCTCAGGATTCAAGGGTCTTTGTGTGTCTCCTCAGTGAATGGCGTTGTGTTTATTTCCTTTCCCTTTTTCTTAAAAAAGTCAAAGTTGAGAGTGGAGAAAGTGCAAATTGTTTTTTAGTGACTCACTCCTACTTCAAAACAATGCTGCATAAAGCTCGCATTCATGGCAGGCTCAGATTCCTTGAAGAGCTCTAAGAAGACTCATAAATATTCCTTTGATTGTGTTCCAGAACGCTATCTTCTCAAACACTTCAGCCTTCAGAGAGAGGACAGCTGTAGGTGAAAGAGGTTTGCTGAACACAAAATGGGTCCAGCTAGAAGCCAAGAGGAAAAGAAGTACTGGTGAAACCTCGACGATGAGTGACATTCTACAAGTGCTATACCTGCATTGTTAAAGAAATTGGGGGCTGGATGGGGCCTTTATTAATGGAAGGCCAAGCACATGCATGACAACTCTAAGATGTAGTAAAGCAACACTAGTTGGCACATAATGAGGATGAAAAATTAAGGTTTAGTTCAAGAGCTATTTTAGCTGCACTGACCATACTTGAGATACTTGCATCTCAACTTTGACCCAAAGAACCTGCTCAGCAGTGTAAAGATTCCCCGTAGGGATGACTGAACTGTCACAACATTTTACGCAAAGCCTGGACCCAAAGCCCAAACATTTTTATTTCTAAAAGATCAAAACTAATTCAGTTAGCCTGTTTGTACAAAGTTCATGCATTTCTGAACCTCGCTCATAAATACATAGCTCCCCAGGGAGCACCCAAGATAAGGAAAAAACTGGTCTGGCTTGCAGGAAGCTTCTTGCTTTTGTGTCAGTACAGGTCTGTCAGTAGCATTCACACCACCCTCTATTCACATCTCTGTAAGAGCCAAATCTCCTCATTGTGTGAGGAGCAAACTGCCCCTTAGGCAGGATTATGCAGTAGAAATCTTGCAGCATTGACTCAGCTGTCCCTGCAGAGAGAATTTCAAGCAAAGGCACGAACAGAAGTGGCATGAATTCTCCTTTTGGGCCGCCTGGCCTAAGGAAATGCTTCTATTAGAATCACATGCAAGCACCATGCTAAATGAAGCAGCAACAAGTCCCACACTGAAGCCAAACAAGTGCGGGAGGAGGGGAGGCTGCCAAGGAAGGAGATGCCTGTTTCCAGTTCACATCATGAAGCTGTCAGTGGATCCTTCAGAAGGGCAGGGCATTAAGATTCCCCCACCTCACTGAAGCCTGATTGCCAATGAGCAGGGTTCATTTGTCTGATTTTTTTGCCACTGCCCCTCCACAGTCATTCCCCCATTTAATCTCTTAGCCTTATGAGTTCCATTTACATGTCAACCCAGAGTTTCCCTGTGTAGTTTTGTTCATTGCTCAGAAGCAGCAGGTAGTGCTAGAGCTTGTTCATTTCTTCCCTAATGAAACTGGGAATCATTTCTGAGAGGTCAGTTGGGCACATTTATTCTTCTGTTGAAGAAACAAAAAGCCAGAAGGGGGCTCTCAGCATGGGGCAGTTGAGGCTTTCAGTCTTCACTGACCTGAAGAAAAGACTCGTCATCATTCATGAAGTAAGCTACATCACTTCCAGGGCTGACCTTAGAAGCTGGGGAAATGTAACTATCATTCACATACTAAGAGTTATGTTATATCAACATAATGGCTTAAGAGGGCGATTTGACCAGTGGGTGTCAAGTGTCATCTCACACCCTACGTTTGTTCCCACTACAAAACTTGTACACAATTTTTTTTTTTACCATTTACCATTCAGAATTTATTTTATGCTAGTACCCAAAGACTCAGAGCAGGATCAAGCTCCCACTGTGGAAACTGGAAGCAGACATGGCCCGAACCCAAGAGTCTTTCAGTCTCCGACTGATATTTTCTTCTGGAGAAACCTAAAACTGAAATGTGAAAGAAGAGGTACAACTTGAATGGCAGCAACTACTGAAAGTCAGAAAATGGAAGTGAGTTGGCAAAAGCAGGGGTGTGTCAGAAATGACCATGACAGGGTCAGGAACAAGGTGCATGAGTGTCGCATGGCTAGAGGAATCCTTTGTCATCCCTCAAAAGCAATTTTATGTTTTCTTTTTGCCTCCTGCACAGTGCAAAGGGGAACTTAGCATTGCCTAACTTTTGCCTGTTACATGAGTGACTACACAGTGCATGATATATCAGTACGTTATGTTAAATTAATAATCTAGCACTTCCAGGGGGCTTTTATCACAGGGTCGCTCTCTGTAGTGAAGTGATATGAATATCTGAGTATGTGAGGAGTTTCTGAGGGGTGAGGTTGCATGTTTTCTGCAAGTGTTTTGTTAGCAAGGAAACAAAACAGTAAAATAATGCTGTGCTAACTGGCACCTGCTGTCATACCACCCTGAGTGTAATAGCATCCCCTGCCTCTTTGTGGAATCAATGAATTACTTGTGGCAGAATGCTCTTTCTGAAGGCAGCTGGGAGCAGCATCTTTGCCAACTCACTTTACTGCTTGATCTGATGCATCACTCTTATAAGAAACTCTGCTAATCACAGGAAGAGGCATATCTGTTGCACTCGAATAAGAAGTGGATGGATTTGCACGTTACTGTAACCCAGTACTATTAATCCTGAGAGTCAATCATTTTAGTGCCCAGTGCCCTGGGTAAAATACTCTATTTCAGAATAGAAAATGTTACTTATTCAAGCTTGTACTTCCCTGTGTTGTTATTACTGTTGCTTCATGTTGTGTTTCTCTGAAAAATCCATTGGCATCTTTGCCTATCAAATACCTCAACATTTACATTCATTTATAACAAATAGAAGAGCAGGCTTTGCTCCCTTAAATCTGTGTTTTTTCAGTCTGTGGTCCACAGACCCTTGCGGGTCCACAGACTATGCCTAAGAGGTCCATGAAAGATGACTATGATCAGTCAAAAGTACAAATACCTACACTTACAATTCAAAGGGGTCCGCATCTCCAATTTTTTAAAGGGTCCACAAATGTAAAAAGGTTGAAAACCTCTGCCTTGAATTTCCTGCCTGGTTGGCCAACTAGAGAACTAGATCCCTGACTGGGCCCCTCTTATTCGTTGCTTGCTTCGCCTTCCATATCTGGAAAGCAGAAAGTACTGGCAAGGATCAAGGCAGGTGGGTTTGTCTTAGTTAAGGCTCACACAGAACAGGGACTCTTCTGGCTCCGACACCCAGATCTCCAACAGGTTTTCTGTTTCACTTTGAGCATGTTACTTAGGCCCAGAGCCACAAGAGAACTTGAGTATCTTATTCCCACAGCAGAGTCTACAGCTCTGAATTAGGTACTTACATTCCCCAAACAAATCATTATGGAGGCTTGAGCAGCTCACAATGGGATGCACAAAAGCCAGCATGTGGAAGGGAAGCTGTCTAACTTAATGTAGCCAAGAGGAAATGCTGAAGATGGAGGTGTGTCTTAAATTCCATCCCTCTCCAAGGCTTAGGTTCCTGAACCTCACAGCAGGACCCCAAAATACATGAACTAGGGGGCATAAAATGATACTGTCAGATATTAAGTTTAAAAATAACAAAAGGAAGTTATTTTTCACAGAGTGTGTAATTAATTTTTGGAACTCATTACCACAAGCTGTTGTAGATGCCAGCTGGAAGGGGGATTGAACCAGTTCTTGGAGGAAAGGTCCGTCAGCAGGTATTGAATGTGGAGAAGTGCAACCTCTGAACCAGAACGTCCTAAATCTCTAATTTTTAGAAGGTGCAACATGAGAGGAAGATTCTGGATATGCCCTGTTAACCCTCTCTCTCTACCACTTATGACACAAACTATTGAGCTGGATAGATGTAGGGTCTGACCCAGTAAATGTCCTTATGTTCCTAATACTGGGAGGGTCCTCACAGCTCTGAATCCTCTCCTGAAGGTAGGGTTCTAAGCAATTTATTCTAAAAACCAAGCAGAAATCAGTCTACACTTTAAAAACACAAGTGCAGGAGATGTGAGGAGGTAGTGTTACCAGCATTTTATGTAACGTTCGAGGTATATCTAAACTCCGGTCCAGGCCAGGAAACCATGAAGTAATAAGTCCAACCTACTTGCTCCTATCTTGGGCATGGCAGGGGCCAATAATTAGGCAGTGCAGATGACTCAGAACAGCCAGGCACCTCCAAAATGTAAAAGACTGAGCATGGTGCTTGGGTATGCACTCTGGGCTGCTCTGACCCAAGAAGGCTGCCTAATTAGGGGCCTGGTCATGCACACTGCAGGAGCAAGTGAGTGGGATGTTTCTTGGCAGCACTTTTGAGATCAACTTGGAGGCAGCCTAGACAGGCTGCAGTACTCACTGGGGACATGCAAAACCCTCTTCTGAGAAGATGCACACATATACATTTCACAGGAGAGCACCCTAATCTTACCTGGCTAGAGGCCATCCGGGGTGTGAGCAGCTTTCCCCCCACCCTCCACTACCATTTCTCCTGTTAAAGCTGCTCCACTTTGCACTGAATACCTGTGTCACTGGTTTTCAGACTTCCTAAAGTCATGGAATCTTTTCATATCACTTCTCCTGCGGCAGAAGCCCTACCTCTATCCCGTGAGCTGATGCGGAGCTAGGTGACACAACCCAGCAATGGTGGCACACTGCCTCCCTGCCC